CAAGGAACAAACACCTTTTCTCTCAAACTTCCCACCCCCCCCCCCCTCAAATTCGAGATTCAAGGTTGATCATCAAGTTTTCTTACACTCTTGGTAAGTATAATTCATTCACCTTGTGTTAATTACACTTCTCTTTTACTAAAATCATTGATTCCTTACACAAACACCATCCATTCATGTTAGATCTTCGAATCTTCAAGGGATCCTTCAAGTGTTCTTGAGTTGAACACTTCTCTTCTTCAACACTCATCACATTTTCATGTTTTCTCAAGTTTTAGGGGGGGGGGGGGTTGGGGGATACAAGTTAAAACACGAAGAACATAATTAAAATTTTTTAACATATTTCAGCAGAAAAGTTGGACTCCATTCACGGACTATTTTGGAAAACTTAAACATTTTAGTTTTCAAACCTGTTATAAGTGGAAGTAGTTCCAGTTCTTAGCTTCAAAATCACTACTTGCACATCTCCATACGATTTTCTACAATTTATGGTGATTTTTACAAAACAGCCTATTATTCCAAGAACAAATCCGGAACGGTCTGTGAATATGAACATTTTAACACAAGTTAAAGGCTTCCAAAAATCATGATAAAAATTATGAATAAACTACACACATTTTAGGAACCCTCAGAATTTACGGATTCATTTTTTGACTTCATATGATTTTTTTATGATCTTTCTAAAATAGTGCAGAAAGGTTAAAAACTAGTTAACAACTTATAACTTTCAACACACTTTGTAACATGTTGAGCAAAGTGTTAAATCTTTGATGATTTCATATTTTACATGTGTTTCTTATTGTGGCATAATTATATAATAGAAAATACTCACTGAATTGTAAGAATGCTCCATCATTACCATTAGTACAAAACAAAGCAAGATAAACATAGGTATATTTTGTTATACATTCGACTTACATAGAAAAGGGTTCTTATACACCACAAACAAACATACTAAACTATAATAGGTATAGTTAGGTTGCATATACATTTCAAACGTTTTGATAAACTATAATAGGTATAGTTTATGTTCATTTACATTACAAAAGGCTTTCATACGAAAAGGGGTACAAATACAAAGTACCGATTTTAGGTTTTCATACGAAAAGGGTACAAATACAAAGTACCGGTTTTATAGAAAAAGGGGCACAAATCCAAAGTACCAGGGTTTCATACGAAAAGGGGTACAAATACAAAGTACCAGGTTTTCATACGAAAAGGGGTACAAATACAAAGTACCGGTTTTATACAAAAGGGGTAGAAATACAAAGTACCAGGCTTTCATACGAAAATGGGTACAAATACAAAGTACCGGTTTCATACAAAAAGGAGTACAAATACAAAGTACCAGTTTTATACAAAAAGGGGTACAAATATAAAGTACCAGGTTTTTATACAAAAACGGGTACAGATACAAAGTACCAGGTTTTCATACGAAAAGGGGTACAAATACAAAGTACCGGTTTTATATAAAAAGGGGTACAAATACAAAGTACCAGGTTTTTATACAAAAAGAGGGTACAAATACAAAGTACCAGATTCACATAAAATAGTTTTTATGATATTAAAACTATTGTTTCATCTACAATTTTTAGAATTCAGCTATAGTTGCTAAGCGTATATGCTAGAGTTCTATAAGAATCTAGTCTCGATCGACTTAGAATTGGTGGGCCCGCCTCATCTCCTGTTCCTTGTTGGGTTGCGGACCTAGGGAAGGCCCACTATATTCAACGGTTTATCTAACTTAAATCTTATATAACTTATATACGTTGGATGATTGTAGAAGAAATCTACGGGTTTTTCTAGGGTTCATTATCACATAATATAGGAATATTCTTTCACACTTAACTAAGAAAATATTGGATTTTTTGGAAATCAAACTCTATCGATTTTACAAGGAAAACGGTTTGTTCCTCAAACAAAACTCTTATGAACTCACCAACTTAACTGTTGACACTTTTTCAAAACTACTTGTATTCTTAGGAAATCAGTGAAATAGGAAAACATCAGCGCTTTGAGGATGGGATGTTACATCGTCAAACAAATTATTTTGTCATCATAATGTAATTGATTTTGAAACATGTAAACATGTACTTTGGTGTAACTTTTTCAATTATATTTATGATGGTTGTATTTACTTTGAGCATTGTTATACTCGTTGTTGTGATACTATACATGAAGTCCGCCACCCCCAGACATTTCTGCCATCCTTGGTTTGGGGGTGTAACACACAAGCACAAAGCTTAATGAGTTACCTAAAATACCACATACACTACAAATGGGCCCAACCTAAATTAACAAATAGGCCCACTCCAACATACATACAAATGAACCCAACCCAACATACATTCAAATAGTTCTAACTTAACATACAAATGGGCCCAACCCAACATGAAAATGGGCCCAACCCAACATACATTCAATTAGGTCTAGCCTAACAGCTATACCCAAGAGTCATAAAGACAGATAGCATCCTACATAATATAATGAGCAGACTCACTTGTCTTACGAAGTCAGATAAACCACAACTAATTGCCACATATTACAACAAACCTAACAATCAAACAAGATCTAACCTTAGTCTATACCGTAGAAGTAGCACTTTGAGCTAAAGTAAACCCATGTCAAAAAATCAAAGGTCAAAGTCAACTGTCTAAAGTTTACTTCAGAGGGTCACCATATCTTCACCTTCTAATTGTTACGTCATGGCATAATAAGGAGAAAATAGATGCGCACCTCCCCCACTCGCCACATCATCGCAGCCAAACACCATGTCATGGAAACTACGTTCAATATCTTAAAGTATTTATCCATCTTCCATCATTTCCATGAGCTCCAAAGCATGGATCTGATTCTTCCCAAGGTACTAATGGATAAAATTTCCAACTTTAGACATTGAGACATCCCTCTAAGCCAAGATCTTAATTCCGAGGTTGTAGAAGGAAACTTGATGCATGGAATCAACCATTAAGCACATAAGTTTTCTTCAATCCAAAACTTCAAAAAGGGTTTTAGAGACCCTAATGATCCCTAAAAATGCAAACTTTATGGACATGCATTCCCTATGCATGTCCTTTCCCAAATTTATGTCAAAAGATGCAATATGACCTAAGATTCATGAAAAGTCCCCAAATCAGCACCACATCCTAGATCTATGAGATATAATGCTCTTGGGACTCAGAAAGATTTTAAAGTTGCAAACTTTATGTCTTTACTCATCCCATCCTCACAAATAGGGCAAAATATGGCATAAAGCATATATATAAGAGGCTTACATCAAAAAGAGGAGAGTTTTGAAGACTTACAAGAAGTCCAAAAGGTACACACAAGGACGATGAGAGATTTGTTGGAGGAATTAAGCAAAAATTCTTCTTTTCCTTCTTTCAAAATCACTACAAGCTTGCAAAAGTGAGCTGAACAACTTCAAGAAGGCTAGGGTTCGGGCTAAGGGGCGTTTGGAGGTGATGGAGGCTGAGTGTGGGGAAACGCTAACCATAACTTCCTTTAAATAGGTCTTAAGGCCCAAAAATTAGGGTTTTAAATAAAATGGATGCCACGTCATGGTCAACATATTGTCACTTCGTGGCCAACATATTGCGACGCCGTGACACTCACTTAAGATGTGCTCCTCAAGAAAGCTTTGTCATGTCATTGTGATACTTTCACCATGTTGTGGCCAACCAAAATTTTCAAAACACATTTAAAATTCATACTTCAGAATCCAGATATTACAAACATCTTAGAGCCAGCAGAAGAGTTATGTTGATAGGAGAAGATCCGAGTTGGAGTTTCAGGTCGGGGACATGGTTTTACTGAAGGTATCACTCTTGAAGGTTGTTATAAGCTTTAGGAAGTGGGGCAAGTTGGGCCACTAATTTATCGGACCCTTTAGAGTCGTAGCCAAGGTAGGCAAGGTGGCCTCCCAGTTAGATCTACCTAAGGATTTTATGCATATTCGTAGCACTTTCCATGTTTGTCAGCTTTGGAAGTGTTTGGTTGACGATTCAACAATAGTTTCATTAGACGGCATTTAGGTTGATGAGTGCCTAAATTATGTGGAGAGGCCAATGACTATTCTGGATAGAAAGACGAAGGCTTTGCGCAACTAGGTGGTACCCTTAGTTACGTTAACTAGTAGCATTTAAATGGTTTCGAGTAGACTTGGGAGCCCGAATTATACATGCGTGAGCACTACCCAAATCTAATTGCAGCTGAGCATTTCATGAATGAAATATAGTTCAAGTATGGGAGAATTATAACACCTAGTTTCGGGTAAGCATCACTTCAAATTATTAATTAATTTTTAAATGATAAAGAGTTTGCCATGATGTGACCATGTGTGTCTCATTATGTGCCAGTGGATAGGGAAGAATGTGTATTCCATTGGGTTTCACAATGTGACACCATGTTGGTCACGACGTGACAGCCCTTGCAAGCAAAACCCTAATTTCGGGGATTGTGCCCATACTTAAAGGAAGTGAGAGCTAGGGTTTACATAACCTCAGCCTCCATCACCTCTAATGCTAGTCCAAAATGAGTGGGACCAAACTCACAACTACACAAGTTTATAAAAAAATAAAAATAATTATAAATATAAATGTGTAAATATTTAGGAGTTTAAATTTATAAGAAAAGTAAGAAAAATTAGAGTTTAAATTGAAATGTTCATTTATCTTTTAAATTTAAATAAATAAATAAAATAATTAGTTTATAATTTATGAATTTTAAAACTAAAAAGAAAGTAGAATTAATGGCATTGATATAGATTTGTTATTATATTTATTACAAGTATTACATTATGAATTTTGGAACAAAATTCCTAGAGAGAGAGAGAGAGAGAGAGAGAGAGAGAGAGAGAGAGAGAGAGAGAGAGAGAGAGAGAGAGAGAGAGAGAGAGAGAGAGAGAGAGAGAGAGAGAGAGAGAGAGAGAGAGAGAGAGAGAGAGAGAGTAATAAACCATTGGAATTATATTTTTTTATATTATTGATATAAATGTTTGTAAAAAAAGTATTGTAAATTATAAAAAAAAACTATATATATTAATTAAAGGGCACCGGTCACAATCGTTGAGCCCCATTCTGTTCAACTCATAGATGAATATTCAACGAAATTATAAACGTTTATAATTCTTTTTAGTGGATGTGGATTTATTTCCAAACCGTTAAAACACAAACAATATATTTTCATTTTTAATTCAAAACAAAAACATATTTTTATTTTAAATCATCAACATATCTACTTTGTCAATTTAAAAACATTACTTTATACTTTAACCATCGAAAATAGAAAGAAATTTTTATTCCATTCAAAATTTTGGGTAGAGAGATTGATGTAGCCGTGGGATAGCAACCACTAAAAGTGGCTTCGCCAAGCTGAGGTCATCTTGATTTTCCACAAGCTTAATCCCCGACTCATTATGTGGCACCTCCCAGGTGAACGCTTGAAGCATTCTTGCTAACATCATCGTCGTAATTGTTGACCCCAACACCACTCCTGGACACCCACGTCTCCCAGTGCTAAACGAAACCATCCTCATCTCATTATCTGATAGAACCACTTGCTTTCCTTCTTCATCAAGATGTCGATCAGGGTCAAACTTTAACGCATCTTTCCACACATTTGGATTCCTTCCAAGCCCAGGACGACTAAGCAAGACATGACTACCCTTCGGTATGAAGTAGCCAGCAACAGTTGTATTCATGATTGAAACATGTGGTGGATTGAAAGGTAAGAAAGGATGAAGCCTGAAGGCCTCCTTGATGCATGCTTTTATGTAATTGAGTTTGTGAAGGTCTCGCTCTTCGACCAGACGTTGGCGACCTACCTCATGGTCGAGTTCCGCGATTGCTCTCTTTAGGATTGTTGGTTCGTTGAGCATCTCAGCCATCGCCCACTCTATTGCATTGGAGGGATTATCAATCGTGGCTATCATTAGTTCCTAAAATCAGTCAAAACATAAAAAAAGACTCAGTAATATTACAATTAAATGAGAATCTTAAGAACCTCCTATATATACATAAGAGATTGTTCCAAAAAATTTCTACATTGTTCAAATGAAATAATCAAAAGTTACTTGGAAATGCATGCCGAGTCTTACTATAATCTGGGCTTTGATCTCTTCTGATGTGAGCTTAGGTTTTCCATGGTTGATAAGAACATCAAGCAAATCATTGTCTACCTTTCTCACTCCTTCATTCCACATTTGAATTCGTTCATCGATCAATGGATCTTGATACTTACGAACTCTTTGGATGGCAGTCTTCAAGATCTTTTCATGGCCATCAAAATCTGTCTTCCCTCCCAACCATGGGAAATAGTCAGTGATGGAAAATGCGTAAAGATACTTGAGCAAGATTAAAACAGACGTGACATGCTCAGTTTCTTCTTCACCTGGCCCTCCATCTTGCATTCCGTCCCCAAAGAACCTTTTCCCAAAAACCATCTTTCTTATCAAGTTTCCACAAAAATGTTGGGTCGTGAGTCGAATATTTACTAACCCTCCATTGGTTGTGGTATCTTGTTTCTCTATTTGATTGCAAATATACCTAAGCAAGTGATTGGCTTCTTCGTCTCTTTTGGGTTGGAGCCATTTGTGTGTTGATGATGATAGGATGACCTGGATCAACATTTTTCTCATCTTTCTCCATTGTTCCCCAGAAGGAGACAAACTGGTTATGAGATAGCCATCACTTACCAGATCAGCTGATAGTATGACAGGCCTTGAAGAAAATACTTCATCTTGCTTTTTCAAGAACTCACATGCTAGGTTTGGACAGGAGACTGCAATAACATGCGTAGATGGTCCTAACCGGATGCAAAGGATCGGGGTCTTGAACTGGGTCATGAGTTTATGGATCCAACGGAAAGTTGGACGATTTAAGAGCATTTGGATGAAGCATCCGATGAACGGTAAAGGGGTTGGACCCGGTGGCAGTGGATGTTGGCATGGAGGTTTGTTTCTAATAAACTTGGCGAAGAAGAAGAGGATAATGGTGATGATGACTGCAAGAGGGGTTGTTAATGACGATGAAAGAGTTGGTATTGAATTGGGAAGCATGTTGCAGGCGATCCCGAGTACTGGGACGACGTTATTCATGAATTGCAATGCACAATGGGGTGAGCAATGATTATGATTTAACTTGGTGCAACGAATTCTAAGGTATTTATAGAGCAAATATTTTAGTATTTTACTTTAATATTGGGAAAAGAAATAAATAAAAACTAAGAAAAGATGGGAGAAACTCAGATTACATACCGAAAAGAAAAGGGGCCTTAAACAAATACAATCAACATCCTTGTTATTATACCTATTTCATAAACTTTAAATTTTAATTTTCTATTAACTTTAAGCATGGGCCCGGTCCACAGGATTATCTTCAAATACTCGGGATGTGCCACAAAAAAACTCATTGTAGCATATAATAATAATAATAATAATAATAATAATAATAATAATAATAATAAGGCCTTCAAAAAAAAAAGACAAAATTGCAAGAATGGTCCTGTGGTATGTTAAAACTAGCACTTTTGATCCAAAATGTGTTTGACTTGCAAAGATGGTCTAATAGTTTTGTTTTGTTGCGAGTTTGGTCCAATTTACTATGAACTTTTTTATAATGACAAATTTGCCCTTATATTTTTATTTTATTATCTGTAATTAAAAATAAAACAAAAATAAAATACTCTCTCTCTCTCTCTACCGTATTCCCCCCATATATTTTTTTTTCTTTTTACACAAGAACAGTTCATCTTCTTCATCCCTCCCCTGCCTATCTGATATGTCTTCTTCGACAAGTTCAAAGAAGTCAGTTCAAAACAATTTCAAAATCAAACATGTTGCAACCTCTCAGTGATCTATGTGAGAATACAATCACCGGAAAACACATCTTTTCTCTTGCCTGGCCCACCCACTTAACCATCAACATCACCTATTATATCTGGCCATCATCCATCGTACCTCGCCCATCACCTAAACCAAGTAACATCTCCGACGAATACCAACAACACCATCGCCTCCTAGGTCAAACCACTATACCTAGCTTTTCTCTCATTGTCGTTTAGAGCTACAATGCCACTGTTATCGTTGTTCTTCTACAAGAGTCATCTTCTACGCCTAAAATTGACACACACCGATTCAGAGAAGAACAAGAGAGAGGGACATGATTGGCATTTGATTCAATAATCGGAAAGGACACAAAAATCTCTAGGTTGTAAATCGTAATCCCTTTCATCTGTAAATCGTAATTTCTTTAACCTGTACTGATTTAGGGTATATTGTGTCTGCGATTCAGGGAGAGGGATAAAAGGGGTGCAATTTACCTTCATCTTTATGTTTCTTAAGTTGTTTGTGTGCTTGTGGGTTTGAATCGGGAAATTCATAGAAGAAATTGATTCCGATGGTGGTGATGGCAATTCATCATAAATCGCTTTCTTAGTTCGTGAATATGATGTTCTTGTTCTTCAACTCGGGAAAAACCGAGTGTTCTTGAGATTCATATGCATATATGTGTGTGTATGTGTTCAGTCCATTCGACTTCATACAATGAATTGAACAAAATTGATAAAAGTTAGGGTTCTTCATTTTACAAATCCACTACCGGATTAGTATTAATTTTGTTTGTAGAGAGAGAGAGAGAGAGAGAGAGAGAGAAAGAGAGAGAGAGAGAGAGAGAGAGAGAGAGAGAGAGAAAGAAAGAAAGAAAGAAAGAAAGAAAGAAAGAGAAAGAGAAAGAGAGAAAAAGAGAGAGGGGGAGAGAGAGTATTTTATTTTTTTTTTATTTTTAATTGTTTTTTAATTACTGATAATAAAATAAAAATGGAAAATTAAAAAATAAGGGCAAATCCATCATTATAAAAAACTTCATAGGAAATTGGACCAAACTCGCAACAAAACGAAACTGTTGGACCATCCTTGCGAGCCAAACCCATTTTGGACCAAAATTGCTAGTTTTGACATACCACAGGGACCATTCTTGCAATTTTGTCAAAAAAAAATTAGGACATGAACAACTCCTACAGTTTGTCCATTCCTTAGGACAAAATTGCAAGAATGGTCCCTGTGGTTAGGTGGAAATTGCCACTTTGGGCTAGCATTGATGGTCCATAGGTTTCCATTTTGTTGCCACTTTGGTCTAAAACCTTAACTGCCGTCACTTTCACCCGTTACCATCCATTTGACTTGTCAAATGGAGGGTATTTTCGTCATTCCATTCCCTATTTTACTCCCTATATTTAATTAATAAATTCCTCTTCCTATAAGATCGATCGATGATACTGCTATCCTCAAGCTTTAATCCCCTCGTTCTTGTCTTCTTCACAAGCCCTAACACATCACTATTCACAATTTCCTTCTGAAGAAATTAACAATGGTGTTGTGTTTCTGTGGTAAAATGGCTATTGTTTGCACTTCGTGGACTGACAAAAACCCAGGTCGCCGTTTCTGGGGATGCCCGACTGAGGTAAGCAAATGGATTTTGTATTTGCATCATTGTTGTCGCATTACATGTTAAGAACATGTGTTGTCTTTTTTTTTGAAGGGATCGAAGTGTTGCTTTATTGGGTGGTATGGTGGTCCAATGTGTGAACGTTCAAAAGCCATCATACCTGGATTGCTGAGGACAATAAACAAAGTGAAGGCTCAGACCACAAGACTCAAAATTTACCTGTTATGTAGTTGGATTTTCTTTGTGTATGTTCTATGTTACAAGTAGTCTGAGAATTTAATAGTTTGGGTATGTAGTTTTTTGTTGAAGATGTAAGCTGTGAGCAGTAAGCAATGTAATATTTTGGTAAGTTGTATGAAAGTAGTATTTTGTTCAAGATGTAAGCAATGTAATCCATGTAAGACATGTTTTGCAACAAAATGCCAATGAAATTATATTTGGTATATATATGTTGACCATTCCATTTATGTATCCAATTAACAACAAATTTAACCATTGTAAAATATGCAATTAACAACAAATTAAACATACCATAAACCATAACATCCAATTGTATGATTTAAACATTGTAAAGTATGCAATTAACATCAAATTAAACATACCATAAACCATACCATTAAATTTCTGATATGTTTTTCCATAAATCAAAAGACATACAATTTTTAGTAACATACTATCAAGTACCAAAAATAACATCAATTGTATGATTTAAACATTGTAAAGTATGCAATTAACATCAAATTAAACATACCATAAACCATACCATTAAATTTCTGATATGTTTTTCCCATAAATCAAAAGACATACAATTTTTAGTAACATACTATCAAGTACCAAAAACAACATCAATGTATCTTCCACACAAAAAGACATCAAGTACATAACATACAATAAACATAAGCAGTTGACATGTAAAACCCAAAAGACATCAAACTAGCTTCAAACCCCTTTAATTTCCTACTTGGCCCTTCCAAGTTCTAGCATTGTGCCCTTTATTTTTACACTTGCTGCAAGTCACACTAACAAACTTCCTTGTTAACTTCCCACTCCTACTTGTAGCATGAGTTTGACTCCCACTAGCCCCATCAGTTTGACTCCCACTAGCACCATTACCATTCTCTCCCTTCTTCTGGCTTCTCTCCCCTGCAGAATGCCTTCTCTTTTTCTTGGGTCTCCCAGGCTGATTATGGTGCAGAGGAGGGGTGATTTTAATTGGGCAATCACTTATAGGCCACATTGCTCTCCCTTTAATAGGCTCTACCTTATGAACACAAGCTGCTTTCCAAGTGCACCCTGTGGACATAAGTGTGTAACTCTCCAATCTTTTCACCATTATCTGTTTTATCATTTAGGAAATTTATGACGTGTTTACAAGGGAGGCCAGTTAATTCCCACTTCCTGCAACTGCATACCCTTTCTGCCATGTGAACAACTTGTTGTTCCTGCCATGGCCCTTTCACTTGGTATTTGTCTGAACCATTCCACCTAGTTGTGTACTAAGATGCCAAATAGACAGTTTTGTCCATAATCTTTGTTGCAAAAGGAGTTAGAGGCTCTACACACTTATTTTGCACCTTGATGACATTACAGATTCTTTTCATCATGTATTCCCTTATGTACTCCAAGCAAGTTATTAGTGGCTTATCCCTTCCTTTAACCAATTTGCTGTTGAAAACTTCACAAAGATTATTTAAAAGCATATCTGATATTTCTCTCCCTGAAATGTTGTCAAAAAAAGTAAATAGTAAGTAAGACAGTGTACTAACAAAGTAATACACCTTAGGGGCAAATTTGGAAATTACCTGTGAAGTGGCTTCTTGCCCAGTGTTGTGGAGGGATCTGCTTCAACCAATTATATGCATGCTTGTCAAATAAGTTGAATTCATTCATTAAGTGGTTGAACTCTTGGACTGTTGTTGATCTGGCAAAATTCCACAAGTGTTCTTTGTGTTCATTGGATCTCCATGTTCTCTTCATATTATCATGTATATTCCTGAGACAATATCTGTGCTCAACACATCGAAACAACTGAGTAATGGCTGCCTGTAAACCCTGTAAGGAAATAAAACATAGTTAGTATATTTCATGCAAATATAGTAAATTTAAGATACCAATTACATACCTTTTGTCTATCACTTATAAATGTGAAGTTTGAGTTTGCATATAGGTCTAGGTCATCTCCTAAAATCTCAAGAAACCATTTCCAGCTTTGAGTATTCTCAGACTCAACAATGGCATAATCCAGGGGGTATATTCCATTGTTTGAGTCTACCCCAACTGCAGTCAATATCTGTCCTGGGAAAGGGCCCTTCATAAATGCCCCCATCAAAACCAAGAAAATCCCTCAGGCAAGCTCTAAACCCTTTCTTCATTCCACCTAGACACACATAAATTCTTTTAAATCTTCTTGAGGTGGCATTAGAGTTGGGTTCAGAATCAAATTCTAACTTCACAGTTGTATCTGGATTGGTAGACTGTAGCTCTAAGATATAATCTTTGAGAACCTCATACTGTTTTCTGTAATCCCCTTGCACTTGTTTTTTTTGCATTAGATTTAGCCTTGAAAATCTGATGTATAGAGAAACCCACTTGATATTCCTTTTGCAGTTGCTCTTTTAAAGCTTTCACAGGGATTGTTGGGTTTAATTCAACCTGATCCATTATTTTCTTCCCAATGAACTTTGCAGTTGCAGATCTCACTTTTCTTGTATGCAAACATCTGTGTTCGTGCTTATATGTTTTAATAATCCAACTACCATCTTTATTTGATCTAGAACCTTGTATCACCCAAGGACAAGGGGAAGGTTCACCAACATCACCCTCATTAAAGGCTACAGTCCCTTTGCATAAAGCTCTTAACCTTGTTTTGTCGTTTTTCTTGAAGAATATATTCCTCTTGGTTTCCAATACATGAAATTGTATTTTTTTTCCTTTAACTCCTTTTTACTTTAAATTTTTTTTCCTATCCTAAAAGTAACTTTATGTATCTCCCCTTGAGAGCACCTTGTCTCCTTCCCTAATTCTTTTAATAAAACTCTCCTTTGCCTTTCCATATCAGAAACCTCATCCATTGAATCCTATCGGTCATTATCAATTACATCCAAATCTTCAGGGTCTTTAGGGTCTTCATCACTATCATTATGCATGGGATTTGTTACTCTCGTTTCCATAAATTCAGCTTCCAGATCAACACTCATGTAAAAATCCTTCATATCTACCTCTACTTCATGAATTATGTTATCCTCATCTACCCAAAAGTCACTGTCATCAGTATCCTCCTCCCCATCACTTCTTTCATCACTATCATCCTCCCCATCACTTCTTTCACCATTATCCTCCTCCCCATCACTTCTTTCATCCTCAGCTACATTATGAGTAACTTCATCTTCAACTCCAGTATCCATCTGATAACCCATCATATCTACTTCATCTTCAACTCCAGCATCCATCTGATAACCCCCCATATCTACATCATCTTCAATTCCCACATCCATCTGATAACCCCCCATATCTACATCATCTTCAACTCTAGCATCCTTCTCATAATTCCTTATATCTACATTAGCACTAACTTCATTAACTACCTCCTCCCCTTCATCCCCTTCCTTCTCTTCATTGAATTCATTATCAAATTCAGAATTAGATTCTAAAATCTGTTGGTACAATCCAAGATCAAATTCATTAGCTACCTCATCAAAATCATTAGGTGCATGATCCTTATCCCCATCTACATTAGCTTCACTAACATCACCCATGGCCAATTTCTTATTGCATGATGACAAAGATTTGTCCTTGGTCCAACTCCTTTTCCTATTATACTCAGGGGATAATGAGAAAGCACCTTTATTATGTAAAACAGGGGATATTGACAAAGCACCTTCATTATGTAAAACAGGGGATAATGACAAAGATTTGTCCTTGGTCTAACTCCTTTTCCTATCACTAGCTTGGTTATCAGTTGTGGTGGTTTCATGTTCCTCAATTTCATCTAATTGCTCAATAATGACCTTTTTAACAGTTTTAAGAGCCATAAAGTAAGTAAGCAATTTTGTAAAACCGTGTTCATTGTACACCCTTATGACTTTATGCTCCTTCACATATTGGGCAAGATTACGAACATCATCATCGTTTCCTAGGGCACGTAGTCCAAAATGCATGTCTCCTTTGGGCAACCGATAATGATAATAGATAACTGGGGGAACTGAGTATCCTAAACCTTTCATGATCGCATCCATTTGATGAATAGAAAACTCTTCTATATCGACCATGTCAACATATGTCACAGTTCCATCAATGTAGTTCACATCTGGAAAGTTTGTGAACTCTCCCCCATGATGTAGCTTGATGGTAAACAGAGTTGGGTATCCATCTTCAAAACAAGAACAAAAAAGAAGTTTCAGATGAGAGGATTTCACATAAAAAGGAAACTTAGTGAGCAAAATAAAAATTACGTACCATAAACCACCCTTGTGTTGAATGCTTTCTCATACAACCTTACATTCCACATTGGAACTTGCATTAACTGATCAACTCACTTGATCGAAGCGCACAAGCTGGAAATGGGTTTAGGGTTCTTGATCCTCAGTTAATGAAAATCGAAGCGGAACGACTATCTATGTAATTAAGACTATAAATGTGAGTATGATCGATGCTTTTATCCGTATGGCGGTAAGGGATGGATACGTAAAAAGAATTTATTAATTAAATATAGGGAGTAAAATACGGAATGGAATGACGAAAATACCCTCCATTTGACAAGTCAAATGGATGGTAACGGGGAAAAGTGACGACAGTTAAGGTTTTGGACCAAAGTGGCAACAAAATGCAAACCTATGGACCATCAATGCTAGCCCAAATCTTTTTGGCCAAAAGTGGCAATTTCCACCTAACCACAGGGACAATTCCTGCAATTTTGTCTTCCTTAGCGTCCCTCAAAACATTAAGTATTGACCCGATTGCAAGAATGATACATGTGTTATGTCACAATTCGTAAGTTTGGTCCAGAAATGTTTTGGACTCGTGCTACAGATCTAAAACTTTCCTATTGATGCGGGCTTCGTCCAAAATTTTCAAAATTTTTTGTAAACATATATTTGTCCTTGGTATTTTCCCTTTTTTAAAACTTTTATTACAAAAATCAAAAAAGAAAAAGAAAAAAGAAAATAACCACCCTTCTCTCTCTCTTTCTCACACACATACACATACATTCAAAACACTTTATGAACAACACTTGTTGCCACCACTGTCCTCCACCACCACCAACTGTTGACCACCAGACTGTCACCAACACCACTGTCGACCACCAGTCTCAAGAACTACCACCAACAGAATTCTTATATAATGTTTCCAATTCTGAAGAACAAAACATTCCATTTTTTTTAGAATTCAAACTCAAGAATAACCAATTTTACAGTTTTCTTATATGCAAATTCAAAATTAAGAATAACAAGATCGGTAAACCCACAACGACAATCAGATTTTTAACAACAATACAATATTAGATTTGTAAACCACGTATCTGAAAACCCATCAACATATAACTCAAGGACAACCACCACTTTTTGATGTGTTAACATAACTTTATCAAATCCAGTAAACAAAACTATCCATTTTTGCAGATGTAAAGAACAAAACATCTCATCTCACAACAATACATTTACAGATTTATAAAAGCCCTACCATCTCAAAACATAATTCAAAAAAATGGCATGGATATGAACAATTACACTGATACCTAACCAAACAAGAACCTCTCTCTCTCTCTCTTCTCTCTCTCTCTGCCTCTCTCTCTCTCTCTCTGGCAAATTTCTATACACCTGGAAAACGTACCAATCTATATGATCACACAAAGACGTACAACCGCTACCTGAAACCCTAATGTTGCCACTACCATAAATCCTATTCATGTTGTCACTTTTAATGTCCCATTTCCACATCAAAAAATTTCATTTTTAATTAAGGTAAAAATGCTCATTTTTAGGATACAGGTTAAGAAAACCAATTATTCCAAGTACACTCTTATAAAATCAGACTAATTTTGTAAATACAAAATCTTCATTGTTGCTGATGAATGTGTACAGTCATGCTGTTACCTTCCCACGATCATCGATAATGCCTAAAGACAACAACAGTTAAGTAAGAATGAAGCACAGTGAGTTCCTCCAAAATACCCTGCACAGCAAAAACAAATATACAACATGCATACTAGGTTAGTTATCCTTCTGTCTCAACCCAACAATTCTACAGGTTTGTTGGCTTGCTACCTCAACCCAATCGTTCTTGGGTTTATTGGCATGCGACCTCAACCTAACTGCTCCCCGGGTTTGTTGACCAGCTGTCTCAACCCAAATGCCACAATATGTCGACATAGACAATCAAAAAATCATGTAGGCACATAATACATTCAACTACCAATCATACAACTCACTACCACATACTAGATCCCTCATAGGACACTGCTTCGCTACCAATAAATCTCTACATAATGCATATATATAAGTAACCAGTGGTGAGATAGTCACCCGAACAGATGATCCTATTTTAGAGCCATAACCACACAAGGAATAGGAAAGAAAGCATAGATCAAAAGTTCTACGACTATCCTACATGGCTACATATAACCCCTAAGGCATTCCACTAGATGATAACCAGCCTACTGGTACTCTAAGCAACATACCACTACTCTTGCATCCTAATACACATGGATATAAATATATCTAATAGATCACTATAGTGCAACAACATCCTATACATAAGGATACATAACCAAATCTAGTAGGTCAACATTGGTGTCTTCGACCCACAGGTATAATGAGGAAAACTCACCAAAATGAAGAACATAGAAACACTGCGACATGATCCCCTTTCTACACTGCTTGCTCCCACGGGCCCTCTAGCACCAAAACATGGAAGAATATTAATCAACATCCTAAATCCTTCAAGTTGGACTGAAAGTCAAATTGGTCAAAAAGTCAACGGTCAACTGCTCCTCACGACGTGACAATCTATTGGTCACGCTGTAACCCACTAAAAGACAAAATAGTCGCAGTTCTTCTATCCTGACGATGTGACACGCATAGTCTCATGTTATGAGAAATGTTTGAATGACATCTTGATGAATGAAACCCTTTAATCCATTAAGTCGCTAATCTACCTCCTCCAGAAGACTTCCATGCACCCCAAAAACCATAAAAATGGATGATTTAAGGTCTTGCATGTACAATGCAAGACATGGGCTCAAATTAGGTTATTTTATGAAGAAAAGGATGTCAACACATCAACAAAGCTCAAACACCAGCCAAACATCAAATCTACTTCATATAATCACCAAGGGATTCTAAGGACCCATAAAAGTTACCAACTTTATGGAGTCCCAACATTATAACACATCTAATCATGAACCATAATGCATAAAACTCTAGATTTAGCAACAAGGGACCATAAAGCATGAAGCTTGAATACTCATAAGGGTCCATAGGGGTTTATAGAAGATGCCAATGAAGCTTGCAATATGGATTTATGCGCCAAAAGATGAACCCTTCTTCTTCAAGTCACCAATACACCACCAAATGCTCAAGAACTCAATGATGGGGCTAGGGTTTCGTTTGAAATGAAGGGAGGTCGAAGAAGATACCCGAACTTATGAGATAATTTCCTTAAACACAGAGAAACCTCTAAAATTCGTCAGCTTGGGCTGCAATCAGCTTCAAGATATGAGCATTATATTGTCAAGTCATGACTTCCTTTTCCACCTATCACGTATTGACCTCTTTGTGGTTATGTCGTGACACCTATTTTCCCAAAAATCATGCCTTTGACTGCTTGATGACCTAAACCGATCCGTTCTAGAAAATAGGTGGTACAGTTCTCCCCTACTTAAATTAGGTTTCATCCTCAAAATCATCTCTCGCTTCTACTCACAAAGTAATCCCCCCCTGGTTAGTTCAAAAACCATGCATTAAACCATGGAGATAGTCAAATGGAACAACAGTGATTCATCTCATTCCAACCCAAAACCAGATATCAAAATTTGTGTGACACTCAGGCTACCAAATTGTGCATGACACACAACTGTCTATCAAAATACACCTATGTCAATCTAACAACTATGGGTTCTCAGCAATCCTGGGACTATCAACATTCTAGAGGACTATCGGTAGTTCTGGAGCTATCAACAACTCTAAGAATACTCATACAACCACCAGTTAGTAAGACTCAACTAGTCTAACACGCACAACACTATGAGTTAGGTAGTATAGTGAAAGATCTCAAATAAAACCTCATCGTAAAACGAACACAAGTCCACTAATAAGAATCCTAATAATGAGTTGCTAATATACCATAATGAATTCTCTAGAAATTCAACATCCTATACCAGTCACCGAGCCACCAGTGACAATATTATACTGCACAACGCCCATCTATGCCACATGACTAACAAACCAACATATGGTTCTCCACCATATAACTATTGACCCCTCTTTCAAAAGTGAAATCAACGACGGCTCGCGACACTTGGTGACACCATCCAAAAATTTGGATGATAACTCATTGATCCTAACCATTTTTTCCGATATTGGACCACGAGCATGAAGATTTTCAACTAACATCCAATGGCCTAAAAAACAATACCATTATTCCACTGAATGGTACGAACCCAATTAATATTCCACTTAGCACATTCCAGTAAATACATGATACATACCGTTCTAAAACACACTCTTCCACAATCCACTGTCATTGACACATCGTGAAACGAAACATGACCACACACAACCACAGCTAGACAGACAATTTAAATCTCGTTCCAACATGGAAGCACAACTTTTCATACCATCCAAATGGAAGAACAATGTTCCTCAATTGTAACAGCCCGAAATTCAGGTACAACCCTTTAACCCTTCATCTTTTCATAAATGTCATATTGGCCCTTTTTGTGTTAGGCGAGTTCGCTGGGCGTACAAAGAGTACGCTGCGCATACTCGCACGCTTAATTGAACGCGTTATCACCCGGGTATGCCTGGCGTACCTAAGGTTACGCCGGGCGTAACCGGTCCAGACCCAAAACCCTAATTTGGCTTCATGGCTATAAAAGGAATGAGATGGCCTTGTCCCTCAGCCACCATCCTTCAGTGAGAAACCCTAAGAGAGCTTTTCCTTCATTTTTAGCTTGGGTGTGAGTGTTCTAAGCTTCAAGGTGTCATTTCAAGGTAGCAAAAGAGAAGTGGAGTCCATTGTGGAGGCTAGAAGTTGGTGGAAAAGTGTAGATACGAGGATATAAAAGGTTGGAGCTTCTTCCTGAGGTAAAAAGTTCGGATCTTGCCTTGTATTTCTTATGGTGTTCTTGTTGGACCAATTTCTAGGGTTTTTGGTCCCAAAGATGTAGACTTTATGAGCAAGTAGTCTCCATTGTTCTAGATCTATCATATTCCAGGTCTATTTGAGTTGTATGTTCATAAAAATGTAATCTTGGACGTAAATATTGAGCCATGCATGAGATCTAGATCTTTGGAGGAGAAA